TATTATTGCTTAGGCACTGGGAAGCTGCGTGGTGGATGACCAGGAGTGGGCCTTTGTGGGGTCAGGATATATGGGAGAATGTAGTTCTCAGTTTTCCCGGCTTGTGAGGCACTGACACCCCCCCCCCCACCCCCCACCCCCCCCCCGGGCAATCAGGAGGCTGATGCCCTAACCTGGGCACAATCTTCAGTAGACACAGCAGATCGGATGCACGGAGAGAGCAGCCACCCCTGTGCCCACATATCTCCAAGGATGCTGGAAAGCCCCCTGAAATAGTGACTGGGTTACTGTAGTAACGGCACGTCTATCTATTATAAAGAGCACCCAAGGCAACTGGCAAAGGAGCCTGGGGCCATTCACAAGAATTCCCCACTGAGGACAGATTGGCACATTGGTTCTATTGCCTCCTCTCTCCCTTAGTGAGGGTCTTTGTTATGCTTGGTTTGCCTAGACACTGGGTCTGGCCTACCGCAAGCTTTCCCCTGTCACCAAGCCAGGCTGCCACCATTAGGGTATTAGAGAAACTGAATGCCATGTTTAGATGCCCTCATCAACCAGACAGTGATTGGGGAGGTAAACTGCAAAAACGGACAAAAGAGGGGTGCCTGGGTGACTCAGTCGGTTGAGTATCCAGCCCGTGATTTCGGCTCAGGTCATGATCTCATGGTTCATGAGCTTGAGCCCCACACACAACAGATTCCATACTAACAGCGCAAAGCTTGCTTGGGACTTTCTCTCCCTCTCCCTTACTTGTGCATGCTCACTCACTCTCTCTTTCTCTTTCTCTCAAAATAAATAAACATTTTTTTAAAAAAGTGAGCAAAAGAACATGACATAGAATGGAGGTTCCACCCCCCCTATAACCCACAAGCAGTAGAGCTGATAAAAAGGAAAAAGGAAATATCCAAGTGGCAGGTTGAATTACTAACAGGTAAAACTATCTTGGCTGGGTGCACTAAACGGCCGTCCCCGGCATTAATACATGATCAACCAGCAGGGCCTGTTGCCCCGGGTGCCAGACTGGGGACCTCACTGAGACACCCAATGCTGTAAAGGCATGGAAGTGGAGGGAGATAGCCACCGCCCTCTCGCTGGGCACCAGCTCGCTCTGCTGCTAACACTAAGCCCACCACACCTGGGAAAGGTATCCCCTACAGCAATCTGCCATGACATGTCCTACTGGGATTGGAGACTTACTTCACACACCCCTGGGGGCAGGGAGATCTGCCCAGTCTCCCCTGGGATCTTGGGGTCTAGTCGCAAGGCGGCTGCTAAAATGCACTATCCCTGTGGTGGAGGTCCTGGTCTGGTACCCCCTCTTTGCAGTCCACCGCCTCACACCCGACGGCGCGGGCTCCCCCAGTACATGCAATCAGGCAGAGGTCCTAAAGCTGACAGTCTCCGTCACCTCAAGGCCAGGTGGGCACGTTCTCTTTCCCACCAGTCATCGCTGGGCTACTGTCTTGTTCCCCTCCATTGGCCTGGAGGATGGCCCAGCACACGCAGTAGCACTTACTAAATTCACCCAGCAAGCCTTGAATGATGGTCAACAAAACCTGTCCTCACTGAACCTAGAAATACCTTTAATGAGAAAAGCTATCCCCCGACATACGAAGGACTTAGACACCATCGCTGCCCTGCGAGAAGGCACCGTGCCATTAGCTGAACAGAGGGCGGTGTGTTCGTTTCTGATGAGTCTACTATGCGTCATCGTCACTGAATCACATGAGAATACAAGTAGCTGCCCTGAACTGTCTGATCCCCCCCAGCCTAGGGGACTTAATAAATCAATGGTTCTGATGACAGGGCTCTTGACGGAAAATGCTGTCGCCAATTTGGGGGATCACTGGCTTGGTCTATATTTTCTCTTGCACCTGCATTGTGGCTGCAGCATCTGTCTCCAACGCAGCCACACAGCCACCAAAGGAGCCACCACCACGCCCGTGAAACCCCTTGCTGACGACTCTGCACAGTGCAGAAGAGGGGGCGTGTGAGGTTGCAAGAGCTGATATGATGAGTAGAAAGGTCGGGGGAGGTTGTGGAGAGGACATAACCACCAACTGCCTCAGAGCCTGACGGGGACAGCTAAAGATTCCTCTCCCCATCCTCTGTCCTTGGAATGTGCATTCGGCTTGACTTCCCGGTTCCCGGAGGCTGCTCCAAGCACATTGCATTGAGATTGAGACCAGCCGGATGGCGTGTATGTGACTCAACCCAGTTAAGACCTCTGTATAAACTTTCAAGATTTGGCAGACGGGTGCAGAAAGCTCATCTTGTGGCCGGCCACCCAAGACAAGCCTTGTAAATAAGTTCCTTCGCTGACTGAACCTGCCAATCTCAAGTGGCCTGCTCTTTCTTGGGTCTCTCCCTGCCCTCTGCATCTGGGGGTGGGTTTCAGATCACCCCGGGGAAGCTCCCAGCTCCTGAGGAGGCTGTGAACAAACACCGGGTCAAGCAGGTGACTTAACATCTCTCAGGCCATCCTGACAGGTGTGGGTTTTCAAGGCCAGGAAAACCCGTTTGGCTCTTTCTTGCTTTCCTCACAAACACACCACCCCTGGATGCTGGGGGGCAGCTCAGCCCTCTTCCTGCCCCCCTCCCCCACCCTCATCCTACACCAGCCCCCACCCTGGGAGGGAAGACACCGGCAGAGGGGCCACAGGATCCCATGAAGCAACACTAGACTGCGAAGCTGTGCCTGCCCCTCCCCCACTCCCCTCTCCCCCAGTCCCCGTGTTTGCTTACACAACAGTGGCCTTGGGAACAGCCCCACGCTGAGGCCTGCTGCCTGGGGTCAAATTTTGGCCACTCTGCCTCCTTCAAGAATCCACTTCTCCCTTTCCCGCCTGTAAAGTGGGATCAGTCCTAACCCCCCTCCTTCCGCTGCCCGGAGGGCTGATGGCCGCGTCAAGGAGAGAACATGGATAAAAACACTGTGCTGATAGAAGTGCCCGTGAGCCAGTCAATATCCTCTTCACTCACTGCCCTCAAGGTTTATAAAGATAACTGGGCTGGACTGACCGTCACCTCGTTGGCTGGCTTCCCTCCCCGCCCCGCGCGCTCACCTTATAAGGTGAGCCCGTTCCTTTCATTAAGGAGGGAAGGGTTCAGAGGTCAAGGGCTGGCACAAGGCTGCACATGATGCAAGCTCAGGTCTGCTTGGATCTCACCTTGAGCGTCTCACAAACAGGACCAAAGGCCCTGGGGCCACAAGGCTGCAGCCGGAGAAGTTGCTTGCCTGGGATGGGCAGGAAGTGGCTATGGGGTGACCAAGGCCCTCCTCCCAGCGCCTGCTCCGGGACACTCCTTCCAAGGCCTGGCACCCGTACAACCCCTGGGTGTTGCATCTGGACCACGGAGCCCACGGGCTGCCTCCCTGAGCCCACCCCAAGCTGGGGACCGTGAACTCAGAGAGCCTCACGTGCCTTTGCGCCTCCAAATTATGCTGTGCGGGAGGCCAGCAAAGCCTCTCAGGGAATGAGGGAGGGGAGTGCCACTCCGTGCTTTCTGGGTGGCCCTGGGGCTTTGCAGAGCTCCTCACCCTTCTCCAAGTACCCTTCCAGCCAGATGGGGACGGCTGGCATTCCTTTTCTCGTTTTATAATCAGGGAACCCAGAGAGGCCAAGAAATTGGATTGAGATCCCGCCACACAGGAGGGGTTGACCTCTCCTGAGAATCCATGCTCCCTGGGAGCCCGGAGGAGGAGGGAGGAGGGAGAATGGGGAGGGCCTCTTTTCTGAGCCTCAGGGTCCTCATCTCTAAAACGGGATTGAGGAGATTGGATCTGAAGTGGCCTTGACCTGGCCCTTCCTCCGTGCCTCAGTCTCCCCTCTGTCGGATGAGGTGATCTCTCAGGACCTCCAGCTCGGAGAGCGTCCAAAACAGTTTTCACAGAGTCCTCTCCCCTCAGAGGCACAGAAGGGAAGAGACATTTTGCAGCAGGTTAGGAAAACTGCTGCACAGGAGTTAGATTCTGTGGACCCTGCCCGAGCCCAGAGCCCAGAGCCAGGAGGTGCTGGCCATTCGGAGGGCTCGGGCCAGCCGGGGCCACCAGACACCCCAAAAGTAGAGAGGTCCAGGCCCCCAGAGGTGCCCAGGCAGGGGCTGGGGGAAACCCCTCCGGGGTGATGGTGAGACTACTATGGCTCTCTGTTGGAAGGTTCTAGAACTCAGCACGTCCTCTCCTCAGACTCCCCTTCACCCACCTCCAGGAACATAGAACCCTCTTGGCCTAGTCTGCCCGCAGCAGAGGATTCACGAGCCATCTCCCTGTGGATGCCTCGCAGATGCCTGGGTGAGAGCACTGATTCAAAACTAATCGGCACTGGGTAAAATTCCTGACTCTGCCACTTAACAGAGTAACTCAGTTTCCCCCTCTCTGAAATGGGGATATTCAGCCTTGTCGGATGAAGGACAGGAGGAGATAATGCAGCGTCGAGTACCCAGCCTGAAGTCGCGGCTACTTGTACAGGTCCGCAAACAGGCTGCAGCTGTTTGGAAAGGTCAGGGGGGTCCCAGGAGGGCTGGAAGGAGGGAGGGGTGCCGCGGGAAGGGCACTGTTGATGTCTGTGTGGGTTTCTGGGGAACCAGAGAGGCCCCAACAAGCTAGGTGTCCTGGAGAGCTCTGGCCAGAGATGCATGTGTTGGCTCACGGGCGCACCTTTGGGCACGTGGGGAAGGAGCGCCTGGTGCCTGGGCATGGACGTGGGTGATGTCACCAGTCGCCTCTGCTGAGGTCACCCCACACGGATACTAGGTTGCTAGTGAGCATGTGGCTATGGGAAGACACACGTAGGTTCTCATGCCTCACCGCTGAAAAGGCTTTTCGATTTGGCTCTATTCTCTCATTTCACAGATGCAGCCCGAGGCCCGCGTCCGGGGGGCTGGGGGGTTGGGGGGACCTGAGGGCAAAACCCGGACACGGCCCCAGACATCCTCACTCTCCATCATTTCACTGGGCGCCACTCCCCCGGGGATCACCCATCCTCCAGGTCACATACCTACTGCATCTGGTTCTGGCTCGGTGCCCAGGTACCGTCCTTGGGACCTGGCGTCCACCAACTGAAACCTCTTAGACTCAAGGTTCTCCAGCACCTGCTCGTAGGTCTTGAGCAGGGAGCGGTCCAGAGTGGCTTTGAAGTTGGCCGGCTCTGGGCGCGAGGGCTCAGATGTCACGGGGTGGCCCTCCTTCAGCCAGTTCCGGAAGCCGCCATTGAGCACTGACACGGTGCGGTGACCGAACACCCGGAACATCCACCAGACCCGCGGCGCGTAGAAGCAGCCCAGGTTGTCACCATCATACACCACCACGTGCGTCTGGTTGCTGATGCCCAGGCGCCCCACGTAGTCGGCGAAGTCGGATTCGCTGGGCAGCATCATCTCGTAGGGCGACGCCGCGTTCCGGCACTCCTCTATATCAAAGAAGGAGGCGCCGGGCACATGACGCTCCAAGTACTCCTTGCGGGCCTCGCGGGTGCCCGGCGAGTACCAGGACGCGTCCAGCACCCGCAGGCCGGGCCCCAGCTTGCCAGCCCGAACCGACTCCGCCAGCCACTTGGTGGAGACCAGCGCCCGGTAGAGCACCTGATGGGCCATGGTCTCGGCTCTGCGTATCACCTGGCGCGGGTGGAAACCAGGAAAAGAGAGCCGCATGAGGACTGCGTGCGCAGTGGAGCGCGGCCCGGGAGGAGCTTTTTCCCACCGCGCTCCCCCGGGGCGGCGGGTTTGCAGCCTCCCGGCAACGCGGCGGGGCCTGGGCACCCAGGGGACAGGGTTGCATTCCCTAAGGAAGGGCTGCTCCGCCCCTCCCTGGGGCCCCGGCGCGGAGCGGGGCGGGGCGAGAGCTTCCCAGAGCCCCACTGGGGGCGCTGGCCCGGAGGGCATTGGGTTCCGGAAGCTACAATACTGGCATTTGGGATCCTGCCAAAAAAGAGAGGCGAAAAGATGCCCAGGATGGAGGAGATGACCTGCGGAGCTTAGAGCCCCCTCAGTTGGGAGGGTAGGAGAGTGGGCGCATGGCGGAGGGGTCGCTGGAGCCCGTGGAGGCCTTCGCCCGCGTCTCCCGAAATCCTGCCCGCGGCCAATCTCAGCAGCCTGGCGGGGGGACTCGCCCGCCTCCAGAATGCCCGCGTCCAGCCCCGGCTCGGTGCCCTCTGCCCCAGCTTGGTCCGAGGTTCCCAGGGCACCCCGCCCCGCTTTCGCCAGGGGGACCCTCCCCTGGGTTGCAGGGGCCAGATCGGCGGCCCAATCCCGAGCGGCCCGGGCACCTAGCCGCCGCCCCACCCGGCCGCACTCACTCGCCCTCGCCGCCGCCCTGGCGCTCGCCCCTGACCGCTGGAGAAGTTGGCCTGTTCAAACCCGGAGCTCACAACTCGCCGGCCGGCCCGCACCATCGCGCCGCGGCCGGAGGGGGGTACGGCGCGCCGCCCACCGCGCCCCCGCCGCGCGCAGCCCCGCCGCGCCCGCCCCCCGCCGACCCCGCGGCGCGCGGCGCCACTCGGACCCCGGGGACCCACCAGGGGAGGCGCGGGGGGCGCGGGGGCGGCGCGGGGCGGGGCGCGGCGGCACGGGTGTCCCCCTGGCGCGGAGAGTGGAAGGCGCGGGCAGCCGCGGCTCAGAGTGGCCGCGGCGGTGGGCTGTGCCGGAGTCTCCTCCCTTTGGCCGGCCTCAGGTTGGTGGCGGGAGGAGGGGACGACTTCGGGCGCGGGGAGGGGGCGCTCTGCTGTGGGGCCATGACCGAGCCCGGAAGCCCGGAGCCCGAGACCCGGGTAACTGCTGCGGCATCGCGCTTGCCTTTCTTTAGGGGGAGGTCGATCCTTGGGGTGCGCGGCGCGGGGCTCTCCCGTGGGGCCTTAGCGGAGTAGGGGTCTAGGTGGGAAGACGCGCGCCTGGGTTCGCCCTAAGGATGGCTGGGCGCCGCAGCTCGGGGCGGCGAGCAGGGTGACGTCCGAGTGAGTGGCGGGTGGTGGGAGGGGGAGGGGGTGTCACTTGGCGCCACATAGAGCGTAAGAGAGAGGGAAGAGGACCAAAAAAGCGCCACAGAGAGGCCAGGGAGACAAGGCCAGTGACCCAGAGGCTCCAGAAGAAACTGGCAAAGAACTTGCTGGAGCAAAACGAAACTAACATTGGCCAAGGCCTGCTTGCCGAGGCACTTTGCTCCTCGGGCCTTACTGACTTCCCACAACAAACCTGCTGAGTAGGCCAGCGACTTTAAATTTAAAGAGCAGAGACAGGCCTAACGAGTGACCCCACGGACACACCAAGCAGTTGAGGCCCATCAGATCTGCCTTGGTTTACCTAGCTCCTCCCCAAAGCCTCATACTTGTAAAAAGAACTGCCTTTGTTTTTCACTAACGGACTTAATTACAAGGCTATCGCATTTAATCGTGAACAATTTTAACAACCCGTCGACATAATTTCTGGAAAATCTAACAATGGGTCGTTGAAGCTGGTGGGTCTCCCCTCTTCCCACTCAGATTTGCATATGTCCATTGACATGTGCCCGGAATGCTTTTTCGCATCTCCCTTTAAAAAACTTTTCATTCTGAAATAATTGTGGTCTCGCGGGAAGTTAGGAAGTTCATACTCCGGACAAGCCATTTACCTCCGGAATCTTCTGAATGTTCGGCTTTGCCCTGAAGGGGCGGAGGGGGTAACCAGGAAGGAACAGGGTCGGGGGAAGGCCTTGAGGAGAGCCGGGCCTGATGGAAATCCCTCTTCCTCCAGGGCCGCCCCAGATGGGGCAGCCCGGGGCTCTTCCCCCCTCCCCCCACAGGGGGTATAGACACTCCCGAGAGGGACTGGAGGCTGTCCTGTGGGTCCTGGAGTCCTTCACTCCCAGAGCACCCCGGGGCGAGCCCGCCAGGACCTGGGTCCCGCCCTTCAGTGACACACAGCCTATTCCCCGGGGACCCTCCCTTGTCTCCTGCGGTCCTTTGTGAGCACTGCCAATCAAGCATGGAGGGTGGGGGCAGGGTGACCTCAGACCACCCAATCCTGAAATTCTTAAGATTCTAGACTTGCAGTCGTTGCTCCAAGGCCACCAGTGGGAATAACTTTTCAGAAATCACTGGGTTTTTATTAAGCCGTCTTTAATGATTATTAAAAGCAGCCATTTGCAATGCATCATGATGGCCCCTCGACAGTCATTACTGTTCATGAATCTCCGCCATAAGAGCTGAAGGTTGGAAGGTGGAAATGGCCAGCGAGCCTACTACGCCCGCCCTCACACAGTGAGTTAAGGAGCAGAGTGATTCGCACCGACTTGAGGCCGGGGCTCTGATTCCCATTCCAGGATTCTGTCTGGTCTCAATGGATCCTGGGGTAGACAACAAGGAGCCCGAAGAAGCAGGGGGCAAGAGCCACTGTCATTCACAGATGGGTTCTTCAAGAGGGGACCCGCGGCCTCCGCCAACGTTATTCAGTTGTGGTATAACCCACGGACACTGAGATCACCCCTTAGCCAAAGCCGCTCCGTCAGCCTTCTTATCCTGAAGGTCAAGCCGCAGTTCCCTGGGCCCCTGAAAAGGTCAAATCAGTTTGCACTTCCTCCTCCTCCAGGAAGACTTCCCACCTCCTCTGCTCCCACCCCAGGCTGACCTAGTGATCCCTCCCTCCGTGCCTGCACTGAACTCCAGACTTTCTTCAACGATGCTGTCCTTTGAGCAAGCCCGTGGCCTGTCTTTACCCCCAGGGCCTGCCAAGGTCAAGAGTTTCTCAGTGTCCAGCACAGGGCCTGGCGCGTGGGTGGAGTGAGATCCTAAGAGCCAGACTGGGATGGGACTGGAAGAGGCTGGGCACAGGGTGTAACACTGTGGACTCATTAGGCCCTGGTCATCACCGACCCGAGGCTGGGGAAGAAGTCCAGCCTCAGGAGCTGAAATCTGGCTTCAGATCCCTGACCACCTGTGAGCAAGGCCAATGCACTTATATCTCTAGTTGCCTCATGGAGAAGTCAGGCATCGTCGCATGCCCACAACTAAAGGCTGCGGTGCTAGGCGTGTGGCCTGGGCCACTAAGCACCTTTTCTCTACCCACCCATTCCCTCTGTGGCAGGAAGGCCTGGTGTGGATGGTAAGGTCGTGCCCTGTTAAAGGGGTACAGGGGTGTGACCTGCAGCTCACCCGCAGTCCCGTGCTCTGGCGGAAGGGGCGCCCTTCCCTAACCTGCACAGAGGCACCTAACGAACTAGAGGCTGTTTGTACAGCTCAACACATTCAGGGCATCCCTGCCCCCCAAGGCTGTGGCGGGACATGTCACGGTTTGTGTCCTCTCAGTGGCTGGCCCTCAGGGGAGTGGAGGTGAGAGGACGTGAGGCACTATCGCTGCGGCTGCTGCTGCTGCCGCCCGAAGGTTCAGAGACCAAGTTCAGGCTCAAGGGGCAAAATCTGACCTTGATGGACCCCCAGGGCATGCACAGCACTTGCTGATGGGAGTCTGGATTCTGGTGTCAGGCCGCCTGGTGTGAAGCCCCGCACGGCCGCTTTAGCTGTTGACCTTGGCCATCTAGTGCACCTCCAGGAACCTCAGTGGCGCCCTCTGTGACACTGAGACTATTACCTACCACCCTTCTGGAGGCTACTTGTTCAACAAATTAATTGAGAGCCTACTGTGTCCTGCGGGGTTTCAGGGTATTGTGAGATTAAATGGGACACAGTAAGGAGTCAGTAAATTCCCGCTACTATTCGCGAGAGGCCGCTTATATAAACGTTTGATGAATAAGTGTAGGAATTCCCCACCTGGGGACCCTGGGGAGGGGTCCTGTGGGGGAGGGGCTGAGACTTTGCCCCCTGCTTGCCCTCCTGTGCTGGCGTCGGGTCCCTCACCCCAGCAAGCAGCGATGAAGGGCCCGCCTGGCCCTCGCCAAGGGGTCAGGGTCATTGCGTTGCTCTTCTCGGTGTAGATGTCCAGGTGGGGGTGGGGAAGAGAGGTCCCGTGAGCCTCGGGCGGTTTTCTGTGTTCTCTGGACTCTGCCCTCCCGGGGCTCCGCCGCCCCTGCGGGCTAGTGCCAGGCCCAGCGGGTGCGGGCGTTTCTCGCGCCCAGGCCGGCCTCCTCCTCCTCCTCGATTCCCTCCTGACAACCTCCCTGTCGCCCAGGCTTGCAGCCCCGGTGCCGCCGCCGCCATGGCCGCCCCGCAGCTCTTCCGCGCGCTGGTGTCGGCGCAGTGGGTGGCCGAGGCGCTGCGGGCCCCGCGCGCGGGGCCGCCGCTGCAGCTGCTCGACGCCTCTTGGTACCTGCCCAAGCTGGGCCGCGACGCGCGCCGTGAGTTCGAGGAGCGCCACATCCCCGGCGCCGCCTTCTTCGACATCGACCAGTGCAGCGACCGCACGTCTCCCTACGACCACATGCTGCCCAGCGCGGCGCACTTCGCCGAGTACGCGGGCCACCTGGGCGTGGGCGCCGACACCCACGTCGTGGTCTACGACGCCAGCGACCAGGGCCTCTACGCCGCGCCGCGCGTCTGGTGGATGTTCCGCGCCTTCGGCCACCGCACCGTGTCGCTGCTCGACGGCGGCTTCCGCCACTGGCTCCGCCTGGGGCTCCCGCTGAGCTCGGGCAAAAGCCGCCCGGCGCCCGCCGAGTTCCGCGCCTCGCTGGACGCCGCCTTCGTCAAGACGTACGAGGACATCAAGGAGAACCTTGAATCCCGCCGTTTCCAGGTGGTGGACGCCCGCGCCGCCGGCCGGTTCCGCGGCACTGAGCCCGAGCCCCGAGACGGTAACAACCACGCGCGAAGGGGCGGGGGGTCACCTGGGGCGCGGGGTCAGGTGCGCGCTGAGCCCTGCCCCGTCCTTGCTTGTAAAGGACGCCGCACGGGGCGGGGTCGTGAGACCTGGTTTCTAGTCGCCTCCTTGGCTTTATTCCTTAGGAGGGGACAAGAATTCTTGCTCCACCTCCACCCGTGCTTGGGGCGCGACTACCCCAACCTCATTGGGAACCCAGGGTCCCTTGTATTAGCTTAGGGTGAGAAGCCAAACGGCCCCACCCCAACTCTGTGGATGTAGGGGGTCTCTGCGGAACCGGAGGGGCGGCAGGAAAAGCCTCCCGAGGTTTGGGGCCTGATGAGGTGTACACACCCCCGCTGTTGATGGAGGCCGACTGGAGGAGGAGGAGGGGTGTGGGGTTGGGGAGCGAATGGAAGACCCCTGCGAGGGGCCAAGGCTTGCAGAGGGCAGGAGAGCAGGGGCGCTAGAGAGATTGAGGGATCCCCTGCCCCAGGCTGGAGAGAAACTGACTAGAGGTGGCTGCTGGCCTGGGTTGGGACAGAGCCTCCCGTCTGGGAGCTGAATTCCCCAGACACGGAGGCTACAGGGAAGCCCGGAATGAGGGAGGCGCTGAGTCCTCCCAAACGGAACAGGTGGGTCAATGGCCACGTTCGCAGGAGCCTTTCAGTGACCCCAGAGACGGGTGCTGTCGTCGCACAGAGGAGGAAATGGACTCTCAGAATGGCTGCCTCGTTCGGGGTCAGGAGGCAGCCCCGCCGGGGTGTGGGGCGGTACATTTAACTGCAGTGTGCAAGCAGTAATTGCCCAGCCTTTTCTCCCTCAGGCTTTTTACCCGGAGGATGCAAGGAACTTCCTACTTCATCTGAGAGTCTGTCCTTGAACGGCATCCCCCCCACCCCCACCCTCACCCCGGCCCCTGAATCAGGGTGGAGCTTCCGTCCTGGGCTTACAGAGAAACTTGACCCCATCCTGTCCTCTCTCTGTTTTTTTTTTGTTTTTTGTTTTGGACGGCCCGAGGGCAAGGGCCATCCGTGCTCCCGGGGCATCCTGAAGACTAAGCCAATAACTGACCCAGAGTCAGTGTCGCAGAGAGACGTGGGGAATCGAGAAGGACCCTGCCACGTGGAACCACACAGAGCAGTGTTGCCATGGGCTCCAACCATAGGACACCACTGAGAGCCACCCATTTTTGCACCTATGTAGGTGGTGATGTCACATGGTTCAACCTAATAAGGACTCCACCTTGAACCTGTTAGGTCCTTCGGCTCAGCCCTTGGGGTAGGAGGTGGGGGCAGTGAGCCACTGGGCGGGTCAGCTCAGCTCATCTCTGAACTGCAGCGTCCGCGTGTGTAAAATAAGCAGAGAGACGGGGCTTAGTAAGGATGCGGTGAGCATCAGATGTCAAATGAGAACAAACGTACAAAGCCCTCAGCCCGGTGTTCGCACACATAGGTGCACTCAGGAAGACTCATGTCATTACCGTGTGCTGCTTCTGTGCTTGCGGCTCTTTACAGAGGTGGTGGATGCTGCCTCACTCCTACTTGCTCGTCTGTAAAATGGGAGATGATGAGATACGCCGAGCAGGCATGCGTAAAGGCTGGATCTAGATCCACAGAGAGCATCACATCGTTGCGGTCATTCGGCGGGGTGGGGGGAAGCCTGCTTAGCTTGGTGGGGTTCAAGGCACAGGCACAGCCCACAACCTGGGTCTGGAGCTTGCTTGCTCTCCTTGCTCCGGTTCGGTCTCTTGGTGATGCCTCTCAGTGAGCCGTTTCTGCACCTCAGTGGGAATGCAGGACGCCTTCCAACCTCACCACAGACGCTGTCTAGGTGCTGAATTCTAGCGATGACTATGGACGTGGGTCAGCAGTTCTCTGTAGGAGGGTCACCCGCTGCAGGGGGAGATTGAGGCCGAAGCCACTAGTTTATAGAGCCTCACCCTAGAGTCTCAATGGCTGAGATTTTTGAATCATAGGCTGTGAGGGTTTATTTTGTTGCAGATCTCAGTCCTTGGCATGAAAATGGGATTATTAGTAACACCTGCCTCGTAGAGGGTGGTGGAGCCCTAATGACCAGGTTTAGGGGACAGCCCTCTTAATGAACAGCTTTCCAGCCTTGCCTGGGTTCTCTGTGCTGTGATCAAAATGATCTTTTGAAAATGGAAGTCTGGTTTCCCCTACGTCTTTTTTTTTTTTATGTTTATTTATTTTTGAGAGAGAGATACACACAGAGAGTGTGAGAGTAGGGGAGGGGCAGAGAGAGTTAGGTTAAAGCCCTACGGCTTTTTTTTTTTTTAATGTTTATTTTTGAGAGAGAGAGACACACAGAGAGTGTGAGAGTAGGGGAGGGGCAGAGAGAGGAGATAAAGAATCTGAAGCAGGTTCCAGGCTCTGAACTGTCAGCACAGAACCCAACACGGGGCTCAAATCCACAAACTGCAAGATCATGACCTGAGCCCAAGTCAGATGCTCAGCTGACTGAGCCACCCAGGCGCCCCAAAGCCCTACCTCTTAATCCAGGTCTGCTGAGGATTTCCTGTGCCTTCTGGTTCCTCTTGAGCCTCGACCTCCCCCATGTCTGGGCTTTGGCCCAATCACCTTTAACGCTTCTAAACACCCCCCTTCCCCAGCCTGGGGTGCCCTCAGCCCCCGCTGCCCAGACCGCTCTAGCTGATAGCACCCTACTCACCCTCAGCGCCTCAGCTTCCCTGCCCTCGCGGCCTGGTGGTTGGCAGCTGTGGCACGTCTCTGACTTGGGCAGATTAGTCTGTGTGCCTCAGTCTCCTCATCTGTGTAAAAGGGAGGATGATCATTTCTGTCCCGTAAAATTTGGAGGAGGATTAAAGGAGAAAATAACAGCTGATGAGCTCCCAACAGGCACAAAGTAAGTGCTCAGTAGCATCCGCTATTATTATTACTGTTAATACCTTTTATAATGTGACCCCATAACGCCCCACAGGATCCTTGTAACACCCATCATACTTGCAGTGGCTCTGTTATTGCCATGGACCCATTGGGTCAATTTCTTTTTTTATAAACATTTTTTTATCGTTATTTTTGAAACAGAGAGAGACAGAGGGAGACACAAAATCTGAAACAGGCTCCAGGCTCTGAGCTGCCAGCACAGAACCCGATGCGGGGCTCGAACCCACGAACCGCGAGATCATGACCTGAGCCAAAGTCAGACACTTAACCGACTGAGCCACCCAGGCGCCCCCCATTGGGTCAATTTCTGTAGGGCAAGTGCAATGACTCCTAGCCAGGCAGAGGGCTTATTTAGCTTTGCAGCCGCAGGGCACATAGATGATCAGGGGGCAGAGTGAGGCTCTGGTGGGGTCTGAGTTTCGGTTCCAATTCCAGCCAGCAATTTGCTGGATGCGGGACCTTGGGCAGTACCGACCCTCAGCGTCTCTGCCTGTAAAATGGGAATGCCTGTACATCGTGCCTGGGTTGCCTGGCTGGCAGAACTACATGAGATGATGCACATAGGGTTTAGTGGCCGTGGGTGCACGGGAGGCTCTCAGTGGGCCATTTGTCCCCCCTGTGTATTTAATTCCCTCCTTCCTGCCCTCCTGCCGCAGGCATCGAACCTGGCCACATCCCCGGCACCGTGAACATCCCCTTCACGGACTTCCTGACCCAGGAGGGCCTGGAGAAAAGCCCCGAGGAGATCCGCCATCTGTTCCAGGACAAGAAGGTGGATTTGTCCCGGCCACTGGTGGCCACGTGTGGCTCGGGCGTCACAGCCTGCCACGTGGCACTGGGTGCCTACCTCTGTGGCAAGCCCGACGTGGCCATCTACGACGGCTCCTGGGTGGAGTGGTACATGCGCGCCCAGCCAGAGGAAGTCATCTCCGAGGGCCGGGGGAAGACCCACTGAGCCTGGGCAGGACGCAGGAGGCAGCGGCCAGCCTGGTTGTTCCGACTCTGCCTTGACCAAGAAGCGTGTTTCTTCCGACAAGTCAGGGGGCGCATAGGGTGACATCCCGCTGGCTTGTGCGCTCCCGATGGAGGCAGGAGAGAAGAGGGGGGGGCACAGAGGAAGACAGCTGCCCCACATGCCGAGCTGGGGTCCTGCCTCCCTTCTGTTTTCCTGTCGAGGAAATAAAACAGCAAAGTGCTAAATCCTTCTAACTGTGAGGCTGCCTGGTTTTCCTCAGGAGCCTGTGATTCCAGAACGCCCAGCAGAGGGAGCTCGGTGGAGCCTGAGGGCCGTGGGGACCCTGTCCCTGCCTTCTGAGCCGGGCTGGAGCCCCAGAGCCCTTCCATTCCTGTGACCAGAAAGCCCCCAAGCAAACCATTCTCCACCCCCATACATCTGGAGCTCTCCCTTCTGGCGTCTGGACTATTTAAGGTGAATCTTGCTGTGATGTGTCTGGAGCCTGACATAAAAGACCATCCAGGTCAACAGCACATCTCGTCTCAAAACAGAGATGGGTGGGTCCATCCAAACCCATAGGAGGCCGTACACACTGAGGAGGCCTGGCCCAGCCCAGCCAGGACATTCTAGAAGAGGGCTGAGCTCAGCCAGATCGGAATTCAGCCACTCTGGGATCCCACACTTGGAGGGTAGCATCTGGAACTACGAGGGGTTGGTGAACCCGGGGGGGGGGTATCCTTTCTACTCAAGGAAAACCTCTGCTTCCCCCTACCACCACCCCCCTCCCCGGACCTCCTCAGGCCCAAGGGTAGAGGCTGTGTCTTCCTCCCTCTGTATTGTCCTTTGTCAGAAATGGAAATGGTGTCTCAGAAGGCTCCAGATGGCCCCTGCCCGCAGTCCGGTGACCCCTCCCCCCAATCTCCAAGCCCCCGAGGAACCCCTCAGTAGTAGAGGGGTGACATCAGCTGGGGAAAACCCTAGAACGAAACCAGAAGGGGGCAGTGACTTACCCAAGGTCACACGATGCACTTAGAACAGAGCGGGGCGAGACCCAGATTTCCCGACTCCGAATTTACTCTTTGTACCTGCGACCTCCCCCATCACCTTTCCTCTGACGCTGAGTTGCCTCCCAAGTCCACGGGCACCAGGGAGCCAGCAGCCTGGCATCCGGGTTTTCTGAAGGAGCGCTCTCAATTAAGTCCCAACCTCTCTGAGTCTCTTTCCTCACCTGTAAAACGGAAGGAAGGCACACCTCAGAGAAGGCTCTCAGGCAAAGATTTCGTCATTGCAGAGTCCAATTTTTCTAGCTCCGGTTTCTGCAACCTCAGTGCTCCTGACGTTTGGGCGGGATAATTCTTCGTTGAGGAGGCTGCCCTGCGCAATGTAGGATGCGTGGCAGCGTCTCTGGTCCCTAGCCAGTAGTTAGGACCCGCTGTGACAACCAGCAAAAGTCTCCAGACTGGACTGAGTATCCCTGGGGGACAAAAGTCACCCTCGGTTGAGAACCGCTGCTTTGGGAGCAAATAAGACTTGGCCTCAGCAGTGTAGACAAGGATTCCAACAGGGAGGGGGTCATAGTTTCCCCATCATGATCCCCTTCCCCTGAGGCTGAGTTTAGCCGCTCAGAAAACTCCTTCCTTTTATACTTCCTTCTTATGCTTTGAAACCTCATTTTCTATCCTGGAAATAAATGCCTCTTTACTTCCGGGGTTGGTCTACAAATGCATTTGAGTTCTGATCTGGCTCCTGTCTCAGCTACCCCATACAAGGCTGCCTGACCTCGGACACTGCTGAGCCTCTCAGGCCTCAGTTTCTTCATCTCTAAAAGGGGAGTAATCATACTTTCCTTGAGCGAACTGGTTAGCTTGGCACAGAGTAAATGTGAGGCGTTCCTGTTATTTTTTTATTTTTATTATTAATTTTTTAAATTTATTTTGAGAGAGAGAGAGAACAGGGGAGGGGCAGAGAGAGATGGAGACAGGGACTCCCCCAAGCAGGCTTCACACTGTCAGTGCAAAGCCCAACTTGGGGCTCAAACTCACCCACCGTAAGATCACGACCTGAGCCAAAATCAAGAGTAGGACGCTTAACATACCCAGATGCCCTCATTATTTAAAAAAAATTTTTTTTACGTTTATTTTTTTTTAAATGTTTTATTTATTTCTAGGAGAGAGAGAGAGAGAGACAGCGTGAGCAGGGGAGGGTCAGAGAGAGGGAGTCACAGACTGAAACAGGCTCCAGGCTCTGAGCTGGCTGTCAGCACAGAGCCCGACCGTGGGGCTCGAACCCACGAACCGCGAGATCATGACCTGAAGTGAGCCACCCAGGTGTCCCGCCCCGTTATATTTTTTTAAAGGACTTTTACTTATGCAGCCTGTTGAGTGCCTTCTGTACTTCCGGTGTTCAGGGCGGAGGGGACAATGAATATGAGAATTCTGTTCCTGCCCAGGTAAAGCTTCCCAGCCAGGGAGTAAAACTGGCCCGTGCTAGTATTTCCAAGGAAGGGAGTACTGTGAAGTGATGACTGAGTCATTTTATAAGTGAGAAAAACAAGACGGGAGAGGTTCAGGTATCTGCCCAAGGGCACACAGCTAGTCTGAGAGGAGCCTACCTGGAGTTAGAAATTGCAAGATAGGGGCGCCTGGGTGGCTTAGTCGGTTAAGCGTCTGACTTTCGCTTAGGTCATGATCTCGCGGTTCATGGGTTCAAGCCCCGCGTCGGGCTCTGTGCTGACTGCCAGCTCAGAGCCTGGAGCCTGTTTCAGAGTCTGTGACTCCCTCTCTCTCTGACCCTCCCCTGCTCACGCTGTCTCTCTCTCTCTCTCTCTCTCCTAGAAATAAATAAAACATTTAAAAAAATTACATTAAAAAAAAAAAGAAATTGCAAGATAGGAGCCCTTCCAGTGGGTCTTGCCTTTGGTGGTTTTCCAGGTTTCAGGATTAAGGGAGAATGGGGTGTAACTCGGCGTTTGGAGGCACCAGTGACAAGCTCAGGGAAAACGGCCACACATGTCCCAGCACCACAGGGAGAAGCTCTGAGCTTCATGCAAGGTTCTGAGCAAGGGATTCAGCTAGGCTCCCCTTCCTCCTCCCAGCAAGGAACCCAGGCTGATCCGAGCTGAGGCTTTTCCTCCTGGGAAGGTCCCAGATGGGTCTGAACAGGCTCAGAGAACTGCCCTGGGGCGGGAGAAAGGAAACTGAGCTTTGTCTTTCAGGGATTGGGGTGGGGGGGGGAGGGCCGGGCTCAGTTTACCTTTGAGGAGTTGGCCCGGCTCCGCCCTCTGCCTCTTCCAAGTCTGAACTCCCAGAATAATTAACCACTCACCGCAGGGTCCCGGCCTCTGCCAGAGCCCAGCCTACCCACCGTCTGTGGTCCAGGCAGGAACTCACCACCCTGAACAACAAGGATGATGAAATTTTTTGTGCACTTGGCAAATATTTGCCGAACACGCCTCCTGTGTCAGGGACAGTTGGAAGTTTCCCAGCTTTGTCTAACCAGCTGCATGGGAACGCGCTCTCTCCTCGGCCCGTTGCCGCGAGGGATCAGGGCCCGAAGCCCCCACCCCACACTCAGCGGACTGAATAATGAACCAAGGCGCTGATTTGGTCCTGGGGCTGTGGAATCACAGCTGCGCGAGGCCCCAGGAAGGTCTGTCTTCCAGATCCTTCTGGCCGGTGGGGCTCCCGTCCTCTAGTCTGAGAAATGGGAGCGAATTCTAGATGTGATGTCAGGTAAGGTAAAGTTCAAAAAAATATCAGGTGTCACTCCCACTGGAATAACCCAGCTATACGAGCACGAGGGAGCGTTATTCTTAACTCACTGGGAATGAGTCATTCAGGGGGAGATGAAATTTTTAGGTTACTGAAGCTTTATAATAATTTTAAGCACCGAAAGCCTGAACGGATTCACCTGCTGGAAGAGGAACATGGTTACTGGGGGCGTATGGACACTCGGGGGTTTTACCAGTGTATTGCACACCGATCCTCTTGGGGGCTCTTTGCCCCTAAACTAAACGGCCCCAACTGCTGTGACTCTCTGGATCCTTGCAAGTCTGAATTATTCTTGCTGTTCTTCCCGGTTACTGCCATGTTCTTGAGTCTTGCCCTGCTCCTAAGTGGGCCCGCGCTCTCTGGATAATGGATACGCCATTCCAGGGGCTTAACCCACTTTGCTGAACCGGTCGCTCTGAAATCTGGGCCTCTAGCAGCTTGCTGGACCCAGATCCCTACTTATTGCAGATCCCTGTGTCCACTGTCTCTGGTACCCTAACCCTGCTCCCCTGTCTAATATGCAAGCCACCACCCGGGGGTCGCCTGTGCTCAGACCTGGCAGGGAGTCTCCAGATTCCACCTTCCATAGCCACGGCCGGTCAGCACCCAGACCTGTGGATCTCCACCCCTATTCTCACCACCTTGGACGCCCTCCCACCCTGCGCCGGAGACACATAGATGCAGCCTGTCCCATCCGTTGAGTCCGGCACACATTTTCAAGACCAGCCTTGAAAACGTTGGGGGGCCATGGGTGGAGGCTAAACACAGACCCTGAGAGAAGGAACTGGCCCAGTGGGGAGGGGAAGGCAAAGAGACAGCCCACGACAGGAGTAGTGAGGAGTATCTGAGAGACGAGACGGAACTCAGAACCAGAGAGGGTGGAGGAGGCAGGTGGCTCTGGGTCTGAGCGGCACCTTCGCGTGGGGCTGGCAGCAGCCCCTTCGTGAATTCCCTGGATCGTCTTCCGGGTCGCTGTAGGGATCGGGGTTCAAAGCACAGCCTCCCAAGGCCCCCGGACCTCCCGCTCCCTGGCCGTGAATGTGACTTCAGATGCCTCATCTGATGTGGGGTAATCCAGGCCCCGCCTCGTGGGATCAGACACAGGCAATGAACTGGGAACAAAGCCCCCACACAGTAAGCACCACAGAGATGCGTTGTTACTAACATTATGTCCTGCCCCTCACTCCTGCCTCCCTGTGGCCGCCTGTACACCCTCGACGGCGCCTGTCTTCCTGATGGTTCTCCTGGCCCTAGTGCGGTGACTGACATGCACAGGTTTCCATGAACGTTTGACATACACATGCGCACCCTGAGGGGCTGAGACAGACCCTAATAACCCCTCCTGTTTATCCAGCACCTTCCTTGCCAGCGAGGACGCTACGTGTTTTTGTTTTCATTTAATCCACAACCCTGAGAACTAGCATTCTTCTCTCCCATTTTACAGGGAAGCCACGTCAGGGCTTAGAGAGGGCAAAGGAAGGTTAGGGCGAGGATCAGAATCCTGGAGGGAATGGGTACAGAGCCCTAAGAATTAGCTGGAAGAATGAGCCGCGCTGCAGAATGTGTGGCCCAGGACGAGGCAGGAGGGGCCCACAGGAGTCCCCAGGCCAGGTGGGTATCAGGGAGGCTTCCTGGGGCTGGTGGTGGGGATTTATTGCCCCACTGAGGCTGGCCGTGTCTGCTTTTTCCTCTTGCTACCTTCCCCTGCCAGCCTCCACTTCCTCACACAGGCTTTCCCCATTTCTGAACCATGAAAGGTTTGAAAATCAGTTACAAGCCTGTCAAGAGAGCAAGTCAAGTAAACAGGCCTGAGTGGGAGCCCAAGGGCTCTTTCATGGGTGAAAGGGACGGACTTTGATACTTGTGTAACCCACGGGGTAAATCACGCAAAGGGAGAACCTCACCCCAGGAGGGGTATGTTTCTGATGCTGCCCTGTTGGCTTTAAAATAAAGAAAGCAAGAAAGCAGGTAAGTAATGAGTTTTGTTCACTTGGGCTTCTTTCTTTCCCTGGGGTGCCAGGGAGCACCCCTTTCTCTCCTCTCCAAGAGGGCTGGGGTGCAAAGTGGTAGGTAAGCGCTCCCTCTCACCTGTGGAGAGTGGCTTAGGGTAGGAGTTCAGTTCCAAACCCAGCTCTTCCGGACAGACTGGGGCTACAAATGCAGTGCCTGTGGCTTCACACGATTCCGGGAGAGGTACGTGCACGATGTGATGGGCAGGGACAGGCAGAAACAGCTAGAGATCGCTGTGGCCAGGCAAGAGCTCCTGGCCATCAAGAGCTGCTCTGGGCACCTCTGGGAGCAGAGCTGGAGATGTCCCCTGGGGAGGTATGTGGCCTCTGGCTTGCCCTCCCTCCCTCCCCGCTGGCTCCTCGTTCCCCTGGCCTTGAGCAACTTCTGGCTGCCTGGTTGCCCTTCATGGGCCTGGTACTCATGTCTGGCCTCCGCCATCTTGACTTGGTTCTTGGTCTGACTCGCTGTGGGGTTGCTCTGGTGGCTTCTATCTGACAATAGAATACCAGTAAGAAATGTAGAAGAGGGGCGCTTGGGTGGCTCGGTGGGTTAAGGGTCCGACTTCAGCTCAGGTCATGATCTCGTGGTTCGTGAGTTCGAGCCCCACGTAGGGCTCTGTGCTGACAGCTCAGAGCCTGCAGCCTGTTCCGATTCTGTGTCTCCAGCTCTCTCTCTGCCCCTCCCCTGCTCGTACTGTTTCTCTCTCAAAAATAAATAAAACATCAAAACAAATTTTTTTTAACATATAGAAGAAATGATGGCATTCAGAAAAAAATCACAATTTGGAAATCGTCATAGTACTAATTATAGCAAGAATCACCAAAAAGGGGGCCTGGGTGGCTTAGTCATTTAAGCGTCCAACTCTTGATTTTGGCTCAGGTCATGATCTTGAGTTTGAGGCTTGCATATCGAGCTCTGGGCTGACACAGAGAGCCTGGTGGGATTCTCTCTCTCTCTCCTTCTCCCTCTCTTTCTGCCCCTCCCCTGCTTGCTTGTGCTCTCCCTCTCTCTCTCGAAATAAATAAATAAACTTAAAAAAAAAAGAATCATAATGTTAAAATTAATAATGAGATAAATGTGTTGGCTGGAAAACAGGATATTACTATCGCCTCAGTGTATCTCCCCACAAGACACCGATGAATTCAAAGTGCGAGAGAGGGACCCGTACAGGTCAGCGACCTGACTGACACCAACTTATGTGATGGGTTCACCTAATTGGCCATGGGGTAAACTGACACGTGTACCTCGTGATAGGGGGCCCTGAGCGCACAGCATCGCTGCTCTGATGTTCCTGCCAAAAGTGCACACCGTGAGTGTAATCATGAGGAAACTCAGACAAACCCAAACTGAGGGCATCTTACGAAATACACAGCCTACACTCCTCAAAAGTGGGAGGCAGAGAAAGACCAAGGAACTATTTCCCATCAGAAGCCTAAAGAGCCATGCAAATGGAAAGAAAAGCTTTCTGGATGGGATCCTAAAGTACTTAACATCCCCCTCCACTCTTTTGCTATAAAGGACATTAGCAGGAGAAACAGAGGTTTGCAGAGAGCTGTAGATTAATGTAGATCTGTAGTTGATGGTATTGTATCAATGCTCATTTCCTGACTCGGGCCATTGCACCGTGGTTATATAAAATAACGTCCTCATTTGTAGATTGCCCTGAAGAGTTTGAGAGGGAAAGGCCATCAGCTCTCTGACTTACTCTCAAATGGTTCAGAAGAAAAAGAAAAAAAAAAAAAAAAAACAAGACAGAGGATGGAAGAGCAAATGTAGTAAAAAGAAAAAAACATGTTAGCATTTGGTGCATCTGAGTGAAGCCTCCGCCAGAACTGCTGGTATTATTTTTGCGACTCTTCTCAAAGCCTGAAATTGCTTCAAAATAAAATGCTATTTTTTCAACGCAGGCTCTTCTGATCTAGTTCCAGCCAGAGCTGCCAAAGGCACCCACATTCTGAAACAAGGTGCTAGACCTTCTAAAGCAGCGCTTTCAGCCCAGGTGGTTAGGAACTAGTGTTAGAAGCTTCGGGAGACCGTGCCTCCCACCTACAGTGGAGAGAGATGCCACCAGAAGCAGCTGGAAAGGTGGTGGGGAGGTCTCTCTACAGGCGGCTGTTGGGGTGCTGTGGCACTTTTTTTCTCCTGCCCCGTGGGGGGTGGTGCTCCCTTCCCTGAAGTCTGAGTAAGCCTGGTGGGTGTGCCCTGGATTGGCAGGGGGGTGGGGGGCGGGGTGCCGGCGGTGCTCAGAGGCTGGGCAGGACCCAAGCTTGGGAAAGTCCTGAGGCGGGATGCGGAGCTGGCTGGCCGGTCCGTGGAGGAATCGGATGTACAGAGTGAACCCTGTCGATGCCAAGCCTTAGCTTCTGGGGGGCCACAGCCGAGGACCTGGGTTAGGAGTGGTGACTTGTCCAGCAGGGACTTTATGCAGGGCTGGGGCACAAGAGGAGTGAGCACCGGGATCCAGTGGGGGGGGGGGGGCGTCCTTGAGTAGGGTGTCCCAGAGGAGGCCCTGCCCTTGAAGGAAAGCACAGTGTGAGCCTCCCCTAGCAATGTGGGCTCCAAAGAACCCTTCAAACAATCCTTCAGGGAAAAAAAACTAGCCAGCTTGGGCCATCGCTCGGGCCAGAGCAGAGCCACACGGGAGGACATGACACCAGGCAAGGAAGACCTCCCCTTTCTTTTCCCCTCCTCACTCCTCACCAGGCATGGAGGAGCAGAGGAGAGCGGGGTGGAGGAGCAGGGAAATCTGCGGGCGCACAGAACACTCTCAGGGGTCCCCCTCCGTACAATGGCAATTACCATCGCATCTCCCTGTTGGGTTGAGATTAAGAGATAATGCATGAAAGTGCTTGGCGCAGACGTGGGCCCATGGAAGGGCTCATCAGTGTCCCCCGGTTGGCGGAGGTAAGGGTCCAAGGGAGACAGGGGGATGGGCAGTAGCTTCTTGGTTGCGTGTGAGTCTTAATTCAAAACGTGAAAGCAAATCAGCAGGAGTCAGAGGGGGTTGCATGCGAGAGAGATCCCTGGAGAAGGCCGGGAAGACTGAGCCCACCCACTGACAGGGCCCCGGTTCCAGGGAACTGAGCTGACCAGAGACCCAACCGGAGCAGAGGACCCCGTGGGCCGGGGGGTTAGGGGCGCGCCGCCGGTGGAGGCCGGGTGGGGCGCCCCCTGCCGCCGGCGCCTCGGGCCAGGTCCAGACCCGCCGGCTGAAGAAGCCAGAGCCCTGGCTGAGGACCCCGGGGAGGCGAGGGGTCGGGACGGGAGGGGGCGGGAGGGCAGCGTCCCCGCCAGGCCCAGCGGGACTTCTGTGCCAACCGGGGAGAAAGGCGCCCCTTCCTCCGCACGCTCGACTACCTTTCCGCGGTGCGAACGGCGTCCCCCGGAGCCTGCAGAAATTCCGGGCGCGCTCTGTGAGCTCTTCCTGGCGAAGGTCTGCGGCTCCTGGATTTCAGAAACACTACCTTTCAGCGGTCCGGTCGGCTTGGTGAATGCTGCGGATCAGAGGAAGTTCTAGGTAAAATCATCGAGGCATACTTGTTCTCTGATAAATATTCAAGTCTACGGACCAGTGGTGCCGACTCTCTGAGCCCCATCTGTAAAATGGGCACAAGAATACTGATGTAGGCTGGAGTGATACTTCTAGTCCTAGGAGGGCGCGTTGTAAGTGGTCAATTATAATAGCTAGCCTTTGCTGCATGAAATAGTGCTAAGTAGTAGTGTAAAAACTCCCTTGGGCCAAAAAGTGAGGGGCTTGCAAATGAGGAAATACCAGCCATTGTTTGATCTCAAACTCTATTCCGGTAAAAGGTCAGGGGTTGAGCAACCCGGCTTCTCCTGGCTCCAGCAAGTCCCTGAGATGTAAATCTTTAGTGAACATTGTGATTAGAACCGTCAAACATATTCTTCAAGCAACTGGTAAGCAACCCCCACCTCTAACCGCAAAGTTCTCGCTTCTGTACACCGGCTTCGCTCCTCTCCCTATATAAACCCTGAGCTATGGCTGGGTGGGGTGCTCTTCCCAGACTTCTCGGGTGCTCTGGAGGGGCCTCGGGAGGGGCCTCGGGAGGGGCCGTACGCCGGACTAAAATAAACCTGAATAACTACCTCCTTTTGTGTTTTGTGGGCTTTGTTCTCGGTGATTCTCCTTTGGAAAGGGAAGTCTAACAGTAGGAATAACATTATGATGTAAATATTGCAAATGCCACAAAGTGGAGGTCGGAGGTTATGTAAATGTGGGAGCCATGAAGTCCACACCCTGGATCACTGGCCTCTGAAAGCCTGTCCGAATATTTCTGGCTGGTTGGGACACACTCTCCCTGATTGAATATGCCTTGGTTCTCTCCTCAGGTGACCCTAAAAGGTGACTCAGAACCTACACCCCCCACTCCGAGGCAGATGGCAGAACTGATGGCCAAAGGCAGCGATTAGATTGGATTGGATGTAAACACAAAGAGTCGAGGCCGATCAGAATGTTCTGACGTCTGAACACGGGGAGGGAAGGGGCTGAACCCCAAATTCCGGCATGGCTGGGTTACATCTTAGCCTCGGAACTGACAACAGATGTGTGACAAGCCACTCAGACGTGGGGGATGATGCTAACATGAGAAGGTTCAAGACAGGGCGCGGTGATGAGCTTGAGTGAGGACTTTAGGATATATTTTAAGTCCATCCGGTGGGAGAGGGACTCCTGGGTCACTGTGGGGTCTCGGGGGTTATCCTTGAGGATATGGTAGCTGCAGGCTGGGTCCCTGGGGTGGCCTTTCTCTCTGCCTGTCCCTCCAATCCCAGCATGGAGGACTTGGTGAGGTTGGTTCATCCCTGGGCAGTAGGAATGGCCCTGAAGGGGCAGTCTTGGCTCAGGAACTGATCTTGAGTCCAGCCAACAGCAGACAGGGAGGCTGGACTGGTTCCAGCAAAGCCAGTGTTCACGGAAGCTTTGCTCGGGCAGTGTCTTCACCTGCCTTCCTGCGTTAGCTCATGGAGCCCTCACAACAGCATGGACTAGGTATTATTATTCTCGGTTTAGAGAATGGGGAAACTGAGGTGCAGAGAGGTTAAGCGACTTTGCCAAGGTCCCCTGGCTAGCAAGCCATAAAGCCTGGCTGGCATCCTTGTCTGGGAGCCCGTGCCTCTTAATTACCTCTCTTCCTCTCTTACCTTGAAAAGCCCAGTTTAGAGCCTTATTTAAAAATTTTTTCTATGTCTTTATTTTGAGAGACAGAGACAGAGAGTGAGCAGGGGAGGGGCAGAGAGAGAGGGAGACACAGAATCTGAAGCAGGTAGAGCCTCATTTTAAAAAGCACCTGAGGGGCGCCTGGGTGGCTCAGCCGGTTAAGCATCTGACTTCGGCTCAGGTCATGATCTCATGGTTTGTGGGTTCAAGCCCCGCGTCGGGCTCTGTGTTGACAGCTCAGAGCCTGGATCCTGTTTCGGATTCTGTGTCTCCCTCTCTCTCTGACCCTCCCCTGCTCTCTCTCTCTCAGAAAGAAATAAAACATTAAAAAATAAATAAAAAAATAAAAAAAATAAAGCACCCGAAACCTGCTCTTCCAAGAAAGGGACAGCAGGGGGCAGTGTAACCAGCAAGCATTTGAACTTTGGCTCTCCTCCTGGGTAACCGTCATCCTGAGAAACTAGGGGGTGTTTGTGGTGTTGTCCTCTAAATGGGGAAGACACACACACACACACACACACTATAAAGAGTGCCAGTCCGTAATCAGACACATGACTGCCCTGGATTCCATGCTTTGTCAAAGCCACTCCCATCCACCTCCCTGACTCGAAGTCCCCTCTAGAGCAGGGACCACAACTGACATCTTCAGCTCTGTGTTTCAATGTCTGGCACATAGCTGGCACTTGACAAACAGTAAGGCACTGAAGGATGGTTGGCAGAGCGAAGGGGACCAGCCCTGTGACCACAGTATGGTTTCCTCATCCGGTGGCAGGGTTAAGGACACTGCTACGGGACTCCACAGGCGGCGGGATAGCGGGGCGGTCATTGGTTCTGAAGCTCACCATGAGACCAGGTTTGGGGGCTGGCTTGCACTCGGTAGTCATTTCCGGCACGACCTCTGAAGGCTCACGGTCTTGGAGCCACGGTCTTGTCTTCTGTAGGATGGCAGTGGGGACAGATCGTGTTGTGCCGAGTGACGCTGCACCAGGTACTCTGTGGCTCCAGGCCTGGGGCACATCTGTAGAGGCAGGTTGGGTCAGGCCAGCCCTGGGTTCCTGCACCATCAGGACACTGAGCCTCCGTGTTCTCAACTCACTCCTCACGTGACCTTGTTTCAGACTGGGCCATGTGTGGTCGCTATTATGGGCTCTCGTTCCCCCTCCAGACTTTGCATTGTCCTCCCCACCCCCACCTCCCGAGAGACCCTTCCTCGGCCCCCCAGCTCTGGGACTTTTCAGGTCCTCTTTGGGGCAGGGGTGGTCTCCTCTCCTCACTAGGCTCAGGACAGAGGGACAACTGTCACTGGCCCCACAGGCACTGCAAACACACGTTGGCCCCAAACTGACTGCTCGACCCCCTGCTCGCTCCCCAGACCTGATGCTCCCCCTACACCCCATCTCCAGCTTCACAGAACCTCCTTCTGCCTCCTCCCTCCTTCCCCCGGCCCCTTGAGCCCAAGTCTTTCACTTCCGCCTCCTAAGGATCCGCCAGATCCACCCACTTCCATTTCGGCCTGTTGTCACTTGGTTTGGACTTCCTCCAGTCTTGACCCATCGGCCTCCGAACTGGTCTCCCCTGCTTCAAACCGTCCTCCCTGGAGCCTCCAGAGTGACCTAAGTCACAAATCTGACCATGCCACTCCCTGCCTGTAACCTTTAAGTGGAGAAAGCAGCATTTCCTGCTCTAGTTTTGTGTTAGCTGACAGGGGTGAGGGCTCTCACTAAGTCCTGGGAGCGCCATTGATCTTGCAAGGCTGGTCCACATCCCAGCCAGCCAGCCACGCAATATGCTAAAAACCAGGGACTGTGCGGGGGGTTTAATAGACATTATATAATTTAATCTTCACAGCAACGCTCTACGGTAGCAACTATTATTAGAGTTCCCATTTTGCAAAAGAAAAAACAGGCTCAGAGAGGAAGTTCCTCAAGAGCATACACTCTAGCAGCTGTGACCTATCCCCTGCCCAGGGGAGGGGCTTTCCTCTCAGCACGAGCCCAGGCTGCTCGGTGTGGGGAGCCCTGGGGGGGAGGGGGACACTGGGATCACTGAGGGGAGCCTCAGACCCCTCCCCCTTAATCCGGGATCAAAATCAAGCATCTAGGGGCACCTGGGTGGCTCCGTTGGTTGGTTAAGTGTCGGACTTCGGCTCAGGTCACGATCTCGCGGTCTGTGAGTTCGAGCCCCGCGTGTCGGGCTCTGTGCTGACAGCATGGAGCCTGGAGCCTGCTTCGGATTCTGTGTCTCCCTCTCTCTCTGCCGCTCCCCTGCTCATTCTCTCTCTCTCTCAAAAAAATAAAAACATTTTTAAAATTTTGAAAAAAAGATTCAAGCATCGAGAAGGAGAGAAAGTTAAGGAGGACAGCTTCCCCTTCAGCCCTTGTCCTGCCCTGGTCCCAGCAGACCACCCTGCATACCCCTCCCTCCCCCAGGCTGCAGTACTCCTCCCTCCCCCACTCTGCAGTACCCATCATGGCAGTCCCAACTTCACGTTGTCTGGCTGAGAAGGGGACCCACAGAACCAATCCCTCTCCCCCTCCCAAATTACAGCTAGGAAAGCTGAGACCTTGCTCAGTACCTCGGCCTACAAAAGCCAAGATGAACACCCAGTTCTCCTGACTTTGATTCAGTGCCCCCTCTGCCCTTCTCTCCCTAGAAACCTTTCCCAGGGAGCACTGACAGCCCGTGGGAGGGGAGCACGAAAGTGGCCTCGGTGGTGGAAAGGCACCTGGAACCCACCTCGGTCCTTGCTGGCCTGACTCACCAGCTGTGAGTCAGAGAGGTCACTTCACATCGGTGTCCTCATCTGTACAATGGGTACAGTAATACCAACCTCACAGGGCTGATGAGAGCTTCGATGACTAAGACAGACATCCAAAGCATCCGGAATGTAGTGGGTGGCCAGTCAACTTTAAGCCCAACAAAGTTGTCCTCAAAGAACCTATGTTCGTAAAGAACGCAGCCCCCCACCCACCCCCTCAGACACAAAGAGCACTATGAAAGAATCCTGGAGAACAGAAACAGGTGGGTGCTACAGAGCAAACGTTTTCTTCCCAGATCAATTCTTTAATAATCTAGACTGGACCAAGAGAAAACAGTTATAGGAAGAACACACGGGAGGAAGGAGTACCGATTGGGGGTAGCCCTCACCGTTGCCCCAATGACCTCGAACTTGACCTTCCCCAAACACGGTGATTTGCCGAAAGGGCTCCTTCTGGAGGTTAGGTCTGCCGGCCGCGCAGGAAGCGCGGGGCCGGTGGGGCTGGGGGGACGGCGGGCGGGCTCCGCGGACCCCCCCCAGCCCCGCCCCACCCCGCGGCGCGGACTACAACTCCCGGCATGCCCGGCGCGCGGTACCTGCCCGCCCCCAGCCGCCGCGCCCGGAGGATGCAGACGCCGGGGCGAGCGGGGAGGATGGAGGCCGGGGAGGCAGCGCCGCCGGCGGGGGCGGGCGGCCGCGCGCCGGGCGGCTGGGGCAAGTGGGTGCGGCTCAATGTGGGGGGCACGGTGTTCCTGACCACCCGGCAGACGCTGTGCCGGGAGCAAAAGTCCTTCCTCAGCCGCCTGTGCCAGGGGGAAGAGCTGCAGTCGGACCGGGTGAGGCCCTTGCGGTGGGCGGCCGTCGGGCGGGGGTCTTCTGCCCGCCGGAATCGGGGTCGGCCTGGCCGGGACCCCGGCTTCTGTTATTTCCCCAGAGCCGGAGGCAGGAAGAACTGGTGGGAGGAAGAGAGGAGGGAGAGTGCGAGATGTGCCCATTGCCGTGGCAACGGGACAACGCCAGGCCGCGGCCATTTAGGGCATTCAGAGCACTGCCCTGGGCTCCCACCCCAGGAGGCTGGTGGATCGGGACCCTTCTCCCTCTCCTTTGGGGCCTTCCCTCCTTCCCAAACGGGACTCCCGCACCGGGGAAGGAGTTGCTGAGGTGGCTTCCCCAGCGCCCTTTGCGGTGTGGGTGGCCTGGGAGCGCTGCGCGCTGGGTGGAGAAGTCCTGGGGTGCCTTCGGAGCTGGGCTTCCATCAGGGAGGAGCCCTGGCCTGTCGGCCACCATTTCTGGGCTCCCATTCCTGCATGACCTTGGGTGGGACCCCTCCCTGCTCCAGTATCAGCCTCCTGTCTGTAAACCAGAGGAGGCTGGTGGGGAGGTGACCTGTGGGGCCCCCTCTCCCTCACTCCCTGACCCTCTGATGCTGTGACCTTGGGCAAGTCTCCTCCATTTGATGTCTCTGCTTTCCTTCTGCAGAGTTGTCTCAATGCCGGCCCTGCCTCCCTGCGGGCCGAGCCTGTCCAATGAGATAGGGACTCCTTTGGAAACTTGTAAACATCCGACACCCCTAGAACGATGGGGGATCTGATGGAGATAGTGTAGGGCTCACTTCCGGGGAACAGGCTTTAAGCGGGACAATCACTGAGCCATACTCTGGTGGCAGGTGCCATTCAGAACTCACTGGATGCTCCCAATACCCCTGGTTATGGGCGAGCGGAGTGAGGCTCAGAGAGGCCCAGTCTCTGGCCCAAGGTCACACAGTGAGGAAATGGCAGAGGCAGGACTTGAACGGAGGTCCATCTGACAAAAGAGCCTTTCTGCTCAGGCACTCGCCCCCTCCCTCCGTCCCTCCCACCATTGCTGGGCCTGAAGTAAGGGGGTGGGTTGGGGGCAGCCTTTCCCTGCTCTCACTGCCTGTGTGCCCCTTATCTCCTTAGGATGAGACGGGGGCCTACCTCATTGACCGTGACCCCACCTACTTTGGGCCCATCCTGAACTTCCTCCGGCACGGCAAGCTGGTGCTGGACAAAGACATGGCTGAGGAGGGTGAGTTGGTCCAGGGGACTGGCATGGGAGGAGGTACGCGCTCTCTTTCTGTGGGTGGCCCAGTATCTGAGATGCCTGGTGAAGGCTGACAGTCAGCAGGGGAGGGGAGGCAGGGGACTCTTCCCCAAATCCAGCTGCTTGTAGCACAGCTGGGTGTGGGTAGAGGTGGGGGAGGGGGAGCCCATTCCCCAGCAGGGGGTTTGGTTCTTTGGGGGGGAGGGGGGGTTGGGCTGAGGCCCCACTTCCAGCTCCAGCAGATAGCGGGGAAGCCATGCCCGAGAGAATATCCTCAGCCAGGGGCAGGGACTGTATGCAGTGCCAAGTCGGCTCCTCCTTGGGGCACAAGGTGTGGGTCTGGGTCAGCAGACCCAGCCAGGCCAGCTAGGACATGTCACTTCTCCTTCCTGAGTCTCCACGTGTGTATATAAATTTAGGGGCAGTGAGAGCTGTTTTGGCGACGGCAGGGGTCACAAATCCCAGTGTTTGTACCCTGTGGGCGTCTAGCACAGCCCATCCTTCCTCTCTCGGGGCCAACGGTCTCCCCTCCGGACCCCTGTGGGACACTGTGATCCAAAGGCCACGGAGGTCCCAGTGGACTTGGGCTTCAAACTCAGCGCCCACAGTAGGCACCAGCCCCTCACCTTTCGGGCAGCCCCTTAGGGGCACGCAGCCACCCGGGCACGGCTGGGGCCCACGAACGGGGCCCGCAGGGAGGGGATGTAAACATTCCAGCTGCGTCACCGACATCTGTTTACAGGCTCTGGGCTGCTGCCAATTCTGCCACTCCCAGCCCCTCGGACAGGGCGAGGGCCCCCACCCAGGGCCCCAGAGGATCTGGGAGGAGATTTACTAGCTGTGTGACACCCAGGAAGGTCACCTGTCCCTCTGTGCCTCCACGCCCACCTCTATGAATAGTACCCGCCTTCCTAAACTGCTGGGAGGTAGAAGGAATAATATGAGTATGTGATTTAGTGCAGCACCTGGCATCAAGGGTCACTAATGTTGTGTTAGCCATTTGTCATGGGCACACGCTCACCAACTGCCTCCTCTGTATTAGGGGCTGTGTGGGCACCAGGGATGGCAGGCTGATCAGACATGGCCCTGTCCTCAGGGAGCCTGGAGGCCAGTCAAGGAAAGAACCAGAGGGATCCTTGCCCTGGAGGCGCTTAGGAGGCTCCAAAGGCCTGAGGCCATTCCCCTCTGCAGGAAAGGGGACTCTCACTCCGGCTGTGAGACTCCCAGTTCCCTCCGCTGTGTGGGGATAATGCCTGCTTCCCCATGTCCCCAGGGCACATGATGAGTGCAGGAGGAGCTTGGTAAACCGTAGGGTGTGGTAGCTGGGGAGATGGGCAAGCACAGAGATGATGCACTTATAGTGGGCTCTGAAGTCAGAGGAGCTTGAATTTGGACCCCAGCTCTGCCGCTTCCTGGCTGCATACCTCCGACACTTGCTTCTCTTTCCGGGCCTCCGTTTCCCCATTTGTTCAGCAGGGGCAGTGAAAGTACATACTTCTAGTGCCAAGAATTAGCTGCAGGAGAGAATGTAAAATGCCTATAGCACAGTACCTGGCCCTTATTAGCACGTACGTCGTAAACAGGAGCATGTATGGCGGGTCGACCAAGGTCGTCTTCATTGTCCAGCCACAGAGTCTGCTGCCTCTTGCCAGCCCGGAGGCAGCCCCTAGATGAAGGGGCTCATGCTCAGCACAGCAGAGATGTGGGGCTGCCGCCGCCCCTCCTGCAGAGAGCGTGGGCTCCAAGGGAGGAAGCATCCCCTCTTGCTTGAGCCCTGAGCTCAGAGATGCTCAACACTCCCCATGACTGGTGTGGAGCGGAGGGGACACGGGGAGAAGAGGGCACGGGGCCAGCCCGAGTGACCCGGGGGCTGCTTTGTCTGTGCCAGGGGTCCTGGAGGAAGCGGAATTCTACAACATCGGCCCACTGATCCGCATCATCAAAGACCGGATGGAGGAGAAGGACTACCCGGTCACACAGGTCAGGGGCAGCAGGGAGCCAGAGCGGGCTGTAGCGGGAGAGGAGGCCTGGGCTGACAGGGAGGCGGGAAGAGGGTCGGGAGGCCAGGCTGGCCTGTGACAGGAGGGGGGTGTCCAGCTCCCAGACTGCCCAGCAAAGGCCCAGATGGGGAGATGGACTCTGGGTTTGCCTCTGTTTGTGGTGTGACCTTGGGCCCCTCGCGCCATCCTCTGGACCTTAATTTCCCCTTGTGGAATCTAGAGGTGCTGAACCTGCCCCTTCTTCCCTTCCTCACCAGCGAAGGGGGGGTTGGTGTGGAGGGATGGGGAGCCTGGGGGGCAATGCAGGGTTAGTAAATTGTCCGCTTTGTGGCATCAGGCAGAACCCCACCGGGGGCAGAGCGCAAGGTGCTGGGGCTTTTGCTTCTGGGCCTGGTCTGTAGGCAGGGATGGGGGGGTTCTCTGGGTCCCCCTGGAGGAGACGTGGGTGGGGGCAGGGGGCCGGGTGGCCCCTCTGACTGAAGTGGGTTCGCTCCATGTCCTCTCTTCCCCCTCGAATCACCTGGGCTCCTGCTCTGGCGCACTTCAGCTCGGCGACCTTGGGCAAGCCAGGCCCGCTCTGAGCCACCTCTGTGAAGATCCCATAACTCCTAGCGTTTGGGGAAGGGTTAAGGGCGATGGTGCTGCCGAGGGCTGGGCACACGGGAGGTGTTCAGGACACGGCTGCCACCTTCCCGCCTTGCACCTGCCCCTCCTTCTCTCCTAGGGGTGGGCAGTGGGCGGGCAGAGAGGAAGCCACAGGGATGACAGGTGCTCGCCCCGCCCCCGGGTGTCCTCCATGTCACCTCTCTGCCTGCAGGTCCCCCCCAAGCACGTGTACCGTGTGCTGCAGTGCCAGGAGGAGGAGCTGACGCAGATGGTGTCCACCATGTCTGACGGCTGGCGCTTCGAGCAGGTGCGCTGGGGCCACAGGGTCACCCCCGGAACCGCCCGGCATTGGGGTGAAGCTCCCGCCCTCACACTGAACACAAGTAGGGAAGGGGTGCGCTGGGCCGCAGAGTGACCAGAAGGGGAGAGGACAGAAGATCCACCCACTGCAGGGCGGCTTGCAGGGGGGGTTCTCGTGGCCCCCGGGGAGTGGCCTACACAGGGGTAGGAGCCAGTCTCTGGCCCCCAGGCCACAGCTTGAGGACGAGGAGACACGATCCCAGTAGGTGACAAATTCTGCTGGGGACCACCACCTCTCGTGACAAGGCCACGGATGCAGCTTCCGGGGTCCCTGCAAGGGGACCTGCCAAGTCATAGCCTTGCCACATTGGGCAGCGCGAGCAGTGACATCCCATGAAGACTCACAGTGACTGATAGCCCCCCAGTCCGCATGCAGTTTACCAGTCAGGAGAGACGGGTCATAAGGGGTGTCATTCTAGCTGCACAGCTCACGTCACACCTCTCAGGTTTCCAGAAGAACAGAGCCAGCAAGTTAAGCGCAGGTCAGATTTGTGCTTGGGGAAGGAGAAGGGCTTGGCTCGCCCTGTATCTGCAGCTGCCCATGACCCCTTGCACGTGGAGGTTGAGGGAAGGGAGAAGGCCAGGGCCCCCCGGAGGCCAGGCGGTACCGAGGAATAGCCCCATCTGGGAACCAGAGCCCTGGATCTACCACTTGCCTGCCGTGTGGCCCTGAGCAAGTCACATCGCCTCTCTGGGCCTCAGTTTCCCAGTCTGCGATGTGGGCCCATCATGCTCCCTTTGCGGGATTGTTGTGAAGATTAGAAGCGCCACCGCTAAAGTCCCCGGCCTAGGGTAGGACTCCAGACATCGGAGGCAGGCAGGAGCTTGCAGATTATCAGTAGGTACATCTACGAGACTCCAGAGAGGGCTCAGGATCCCGGGTTCTAACCCCTGTTCCACTCCTCCCAGCTGGGGGCTTCCTGCACGCAGCTGTCTCTTCAAGCCCTGTCTGCTGGAGGCGCTGATGTTTTCCACTCCGCCTGCTGGGGGAGGGCCCCTGGGGGCTGAGTGTCATGTGCGGGGCCTTGTGGTTACAGGCTATTCCAAGGACCCCAGAACAAAGGTGGGGCTACTCTGGCGAGCACGTGGGAGGCTCTGGGCCTCAGAGACTGAGCAGACAGCTCAGGGCGCGCTGATCCTTTACCCTCGGGCCTAAGGAGTGGACAGCCTGTTTGACCTCTGCTTCTGAGGATGAACAGAACATTCTGTGGGGCCCCCACCTCACCCACCCTTCCCTACAGCTTGGTTCCGGGGCTGCTTCAGCCGCACCTGGGACAGAGGTGATCGATCTGCCCGTCATAGCCTCCGCCTGCTTTTAGAGACTGGCCTCTAGGTCTGGGGCTGGGGTGAGGGGTGGGGAGCACCAAAGAGAAGGCGGCCGTCCCTCAGGGGTCAGGCCCAGCCAGGCCAGGGGTTGGCTGTGCCTCGAGGCAGACCTGCCACCTAGGTGGCGGACGGGGAGGAGATTCTGACTTCCTCTGGAAACTCAGGGGACGGGCCCGAACGGACATAAGTTGGTATCTTGACTGATGTCACTTGCCCCCTTGCCTTCTTCCCTGCTGGCTGCTTTTAACCCAGCCTCCCCCTGTTGTGTCTCTCCCCACGCCCCGCCCCCCAGCTGGTGAACATTGGCTCCTCCTACAACTACGGCAGCGAGGACCAAGCCGAGTTCCTGTGTGTGGTGTCCAAGGAGCTCTACAGCTCCCCGCACGGGCTGAGCTCTGAGTCCAGCCGCAAAACCAAGGTGAGCCCCCAGCCTCAGCTTCCCCGTCTGTTTCCTCCATCCCCTCCCTGCCCTCCACCCCGCCACCCCTGCTTCTCTCTCCCTCCTGCCGCACCCATGTAACCACCTGGTCACAGCCAATGCCATCCATCCCACGCCACCCATGGTCCCGTCTGCTCATGCCAGTTACCCAGGCCCGGGTGGGGTGGGGGGGCGGGGAGAGACAGATGAGCTCGTCCCAAGGGCATGGCCAGAGTGGGCCTGGATGCCGTTCGAACGGTGGCCACAGGGCGCACTGAACGAGGAGTTTGGGCATGAGGTGCCGCACTCCGTGTGACCTTGGACAAGCCCCGGCCCTCCGGGCACCTCCACTGTTCTCTGAGAAGTGAGGGTAGACTCCATCCTCTCCGGTGCTGTCAGGCATAGAACTTCTGGGATCCAAATGGCCAGTTTATTTCCCGGAGGTGGGTACGTGTTCCCAGCTGGCCTGGGCCAGGGCAGGGAAGCCAAATCTGTCCATCCTGCCCCTTCCCCAGGCCCCTTCTTCAAGGTGCCCTGCAGGAGAGAGGTCAGCACCCCCGTGGGGCCCCCATGCATTTCTGCCCTGGCCTCTGAGACAGCAACAGCTGGTGGTGGGGAGGGGCCGAGCAGTGGTCCTGCCGCCTCGAACCCAGAGCCTGGTTAGAAGCCTCGAGGGCCTTTGGTGGGGCCGATGGGGCAGGGTGGCAAGGCAGGCTGGGAAAAGGGAGACCATTCCTTTAGGGGTGGGGGGGTTCTGTCCCAGTGCACCGGAGACTGACGAACCTGGGCTTCCTGTCTGTCTGTCCGCCTCCCCGTCCTGTGACTCCCCCTGCGCACCGCACTGCCATCAGGGTCCGTGGCGGGCACTGCCTTGCAAGGGTGCAAAATGAGCCTGCTGCTTCCGCCTCTCTTTGGCCGGAGCCTGGGAGCCTGGGGCATCGGAGTCCCCTTGAAGGCACCCCAGATGCTTCTGGTGTCTGTCCTGGGCCTTCCCTGGCCTCATTTCTACTCTGGGTCAGCCTCCTAACACGAGGCCTTCCCAGGTGCTCCTCAACGAGCCTCTGGCCACACACCCACCGCTCCCTTACCAGCCGCACCCAGCCTTGCTCCGCGTAATAGCAGCCCGGCTGCTCCGGGAGCATCCCTAGCAGGCCCGCCCCGCCGTCCTGTGCCCTTTCTCCAGCCCCTTCCGAAGCCCCTAGGGGACCGGACAAGATGCCCCAGCTTCTCCCTCCTTAAGGTCCCCCCTCCCCTGCTGTCATCTTGGCCGCCCTGAGAGGGGGCGCACGGGGCCAGCCACCAGCAGGCCCCGGCCCCCCGTTAGCTCTCCACTCTTTCTTCCCTGGGTCCGCCGGCTGGTCCACAGAGCGCGGAGGAGCAGCTGGAGGACGAGCGGCGGCAGGAGGAGGAGGTGGAGGTGCAGGTGGAGGTGCAGGTGGAGGCAGATACCCTGGAGAAAGGTGCAGCCAACCCCCGAGGAGAGTGATTGCTAATACACGCCGGAGCCTCCCCCCACTGTCCCCGCTGGAGCCAGCCGCAGAACCCGGGGGCCGGGGCCTGGGGGGGCGGGGCGGGGGGCCGGGCCACCAGGGTCAGCTCAGCCGCACGCCCGGCACCTCACCTGCATAACCATCCCTTCTCTCGCTTTCTCTTTACAGCCCAGTCATCTCGGGAGCCCGCTAACCTTTTCTCCCTCCCACCACCGCCTCCTCCACCGCCTCCGCCTCCTCCTCCTCCTCCACTTCCCGTGGGAGGCCCTGCCTCATCTTCATCCACCTCTTCTTCCTCCTGGATCTCATCTGCACCCTGCCTCTTCCCTCTCTGCCCCTGTCCGGGTTTCCTCTCTGCCTGCTCCCGCCTCCATCCCCGGGCCGCCCCGGGCCCAGCCTCCCGCGCCCTCCACCCCGGCGCCCCGGCCCCCCTGCATCCCAGAGCATCCCGCCTGCCGCCTCCTGCGCCCCCTCTGGCACCTGCCGCCCCCCGGCCTGGGGAGGAGGGTCGTGGCTGCGGCTCCTTTGTGCCCGCCAGCCCCGCCGCTGCCACCGCTGCCACCGCTGCCGGGCACCCCTGAGGCCGGGGCCGCCGGGCCCAGAGCCTCACCCCCTCGCCGCACCTTCTTCACGTTTCCTCCTTGCAGGTTCCTGTCTGCACCCCTCAGCGCTGAGGCCGCGCTTGCCGTGAGGGCTTCTCCTGGGCCCCTCGCCCCCCAGAGCCGCCAGCCCTGGTTTGTAGCTTGGCGGAGCTGGAGGGAGGGCGGAAGCCAGGAGGGGGCGCCTCCTGTTCCCGGACCTGAGCCTGACTTTCAGTTGACTCTCTCCCCTCACCCGTTTTGGCCTTGGGCGTGAGGCTCGGAGAGAAGAAAGCTAGGGGGCAGGCCTGTTTCCCATCCATCCATCCGCCGCCTCCGGGCTGGGAAGGAGGGAGGGGTAACCGCCGCCGGACACCTTGACCTCATCCCTGCCCATCCAGGAGCCCCTGCTTCACAGCCTCATTGGCATGGGTCTCCCTGTCTCTTCGGGGGTGGGAAGGACAGCCGGCCACCCTTGGAGTCCTTTGGCCTACAGGGAGTCAGCCAGAGCTGGCTGGTGAGGATCGGGGCGTCGCAGAAAAGGCCCTGGCCGGGTGCCTCCAAGCCCCCACTCAGATCTTATCCGCCTGCTCTGTGACCTGGGGCAAGTCACTGTCCCTCTCTAGGCCACAGTTGCCTCTAAAATGGGGACAGGTAGCTGCTGTCTGTGACCTTTTGCCTGAGACGGCAGGGGACCTGACCTTGATCCCCCCCCCCCCCCCCCCCCCCCCCCCCCCCCCCCCCCCCCCCGGCCAGAGTCACCGAGACTCTGGCCTCCGCGGCAGCCACCACCCAGCCCACGATGGGGCATGGGGCTCCCGGATGGGCGATCTGGGTCCCCTTCCTGCTCCCCCTCCTTGGCTCTGAATCCACCTTCTCTGGGCCTCAGCCCCCCACCCTCTTCTGAGAAGGGACCCTGTAACTCACCTACCTCTTTCTCTCTCCCTTTCTTCCCCACCCCACCCTCCATTTCAATCTCCTCTCCGCCCTCCCCTGGCCTTGCCTCACCCCTCCTCACTGGCCCCACCCTGTCATTCCTCTCCTGGTGTTCTGACCACCCCCCTCCTGTCCCCCTGCCCCTTCCCCCTCTTATTTTCTAGCTGTTACAAGCCAGAGGCACCCGGATGTGAGACCCCAGATCACCTCCAGGGACTTGGGGTTCCGATCTGAAATCCTTTATTTTTGTACCACGGGGTGGGGCCCCGGCTCCAGGCGGAGGAAGCACTCTCCCCCCTGCCACTTCTGTCTACACCTGCGGGGTTGTGATTTACCCCTGCGTCTGGGGGCCAGGCGGGGGCCTGAGGTGGGCCCTGGGACCCCTGGGCAGAGCCGCCGGCCTGTGGCCAAAGTGCAGCGCTGTCTAGCTGTGTTTCCCAGGCCGCCGTGGCCCCTCCCCGGGGTCCCCCAGCTGCATGAGTGAGACCCTCCCCTGACCCAGTCACGTTTCGTCCCTGAGCCTTAGTCTCCCCATCTGTCCAATGGGTTCACTCTCCCCACCGCCACCTACCTCACAGGGTTGTTGTGAGGTTACACAGGGGAGCAAGGTCCCAGAAAGCCCTGGGGGTTGGGAGGGAGGTGCACAAAGCACCAGACAGGGTGGCCCGCCCTCCGAGGGAAGGGTCTGCTCAGCCCCACCGGGAGATTCAGGTATTGGTGGAACAGAGGTCGTGGGGTTTGGCCCTGCCGGAGGAAGGGGGAGGGTGACCCAGCCCTCACCCTGGCTGCGCCCGCCCCCCGTCTGGACCGCTAGGTGCCCAGTGCCCTGTCCGGGAGGGGCCGGCGGGGTCTCGTCAGGGACAGTGCAGCCATCAGGACCTAGTGCTAAGGGAAAGGGAGACACTCCTCCCTGTGTCCTGGGGACAGTCTGGGGGCAGCAGGGGCCGAGCAAGGGCCCCTCCTGCGCTGATGATCTCCCGGGGTGCGTCCAACCCCGCCATGTAATAAAACCTGAAGAAACAGCCACTGGGCTGCCTCCCTCTCTTCCTCTGGGCCCCGTTTGGGGACGGGGCTAACCTCAAGGGTGGGTAAATGACTCGAAGGTAACGGGACTTTTTTCTTAAAGCCTAGGGACGCTGCTCTGTGGTGGCTGTTCTGTGTGTATGGAGGGGGGAGGTCATGGCTCCATCCTCTGCCTTGCTGGGAGAATTTTGGTGTGTGCCTGGCCCTCTCTGGGCCTCAGTTTCCTCATCTGTAAAGTCAAGGGTTGGACCGGGTGACTTCCAAGGCCCAGTCCCTGGAGTCTGGCAGGTCTGTAACTACCTCCCGGCATCCCAGCTAGGGATGCTGAGGGGGTGGGGGTTCCCGAAATCAGGACAGCAGCCCCCCCCCCCCACTTCCCAGCCTCACCCTACCCTTCCCATGGCCTTTTGCTCCACGGCCTCCTGCATCCTAACCCCCAGGACGCCCCCTCTGCTTCGTGCTGTGAGTTCTCTCCGTCCCGTCCGCACCTCACTATTGCCTCCCTTCTGTCCCAAGTCTCAGGAAATATAAACACCCAGGCTCCTGCCCCACGTTCTCTCTGAGCCCGCGGGTCTGCAGGACCCTGGGCTTCTCTTTCCTGCCCAGCAGGACCTCCCACGCCACCCCACCCTGCCCTGCCCTGGCCAAAGCCTGCTTAGTCTCCCTTGCTCCCCTGTCCCAGGATCCTAGCGCTGCTGGGGACATCCCTGCAAAGCAGGGGTCCCCCAGGCAGAGGCCCTACTTGGAGCCAGGCGAGGCTCCCCCTGCTCCACTCAGACCTGGGGGGCGGGGCCCTCACCACTCCCAGGCTGAACTGACCTCACATGTGTCCTGCTTTGCAGAACCGTCACCAGGAGGCTTGTTAAAAGAACAGACTGCCCACCCCTCCCCCACCCCCATTCTGACTCATGAAGACTGGGGGGAGGGAACCCACAAGTGTACATTTGGGCAAAGCCCCCAACACTGCTTCCGGCCACCCTTGTGGGAAGCCTGAGAGGCCAGGGGGTGGAATGCTTTAACATCCTGTGCCTGCCCAGAGCTGCCCCCCTAGTGTCTGCTCTGTCCGAAGGCGGCCACACGCCCCCGGGACCCATGCCCCAGCCACTCCCCTGTGCCTTTGAAATCTGCCCCCCTCCCCAGGCTCCCCTTCCTTCTCCCAGCTAGGCTTCAAGGAAGACTTGTCCTCACTTGACTTCCCACCTGCTCCCCTCCACGACACCCAGGGCACCAGAGGTCCTGTCTGACCTCTCCCACTTGGTCGCTGAGGCTCCGCCCCTCCCAGCGCATCTCCAGCTCTGGCCACGCCCCTGGGCCTCCCACTTGCCCCCCCCCCCCTTTGTAGTGTCCTTCTGCCTCCTCAGCCTCCCCCAGGTGTCTTCTGAGGAGGGGCTCTGAAATCCCCCCTCCAACCCCCAAGCCCCGCCTACCTCCTGTACACCTCCCTCCTAGAGGTATCCCAAGTTCTGGCACCTTCTCAGAGCCTTCCCGCCCTCAGCCAGGTGTCCCAGGCCAGGCAGCAGGTCCTCCGCTGGCCCAGGAGATCAGAACACATCCCTTGGAATGGTCCTGGGTGACTCTGTCACCCAACCCCAATCCACTGAGTCACCTGGAGGTCACTGAGCGTCCTTCAAGTCCATCCTTGCTGCCCCCGCTCATTAGATCCCATTCTTTCCCTCCTGGAGTCCTGCGGTGGCCTCCTCATGGCCTCCCTGCCTCCCATGCCCTCCACACTGCTGCTTGCCGTCTGCTCTAAAATGCGAACCCACTCGTGTGTCACTCCGCTCTTACAAAGCCTTATTGTGTGGCTTCCCAGAGCACCCAAGGTCAAGTCCCAAGCTCAGCTCCAAACTCTGTGTCAACTGTTCTGAGTTTGTTCCCCTCCTTTTCATTCCTTTCCACACAACCTCTGTGTAACTTAAATCAGCTCACCCACATGGCCTGTTCTTGTGCGACCCTGTACCTTTGCACATGCCCTTCCCCTGTCTGGGATGCCCTTCCCCACCTTGGCCATCTTTGGGCCACAACTCAAGTCTTATGTCCTCCAGGCAGCCTTCCCTGACTTCCCGAGTTCTAGGCTGCCCCAGAGCCCCATCATGCTGGGTCGCTGTCCCCAGCCCTCCTGGGATCCGGAGCCGAGGTCTGCGTCTCTGGGGCCCCAGGGCAGCAGTTGGCTCGTAGCAGGAGACTGAGGCGCTTGCCGAGTAAAATGATTCCAAGAATGTGAAGGGGCTGCTGTGCTGGAGAAGTGGAGGACTGGGAACCAGGACATAGGGCTTCCACCCCAGGCTTCACTCCCGACCGCAGGTGTAATCGTGGGGGAGGCTCTGCTCCTCTCTGCCTCAGTTTCCTCCCACGCTTCCAGAAGGAGCCCATCACTTGTCCCATCCTCCACTCTGATCTGAGGGTCCCACACCAATGCCTTCCTGGGGTTGATCCTGGGACCTGGACAAGCTGCTCCAGAGGTCGCCCCTGCCCCCATTAACATAGCCACTTGGCGAACAGACCGAGCAGGAAACAGTCTCACTCCATCGAGAGCGTGAGCTCAGTGCCCCGGGGTTCCATGCCAACCCCCGAGCAGAGCCTCAGATCAAACGGCTTTATTGCACGGGGCAGGGGAGCTCACTTCCAGGTGAGAGTGAGCAGTGAAGGCCCAGGGGACAGATAGGGGTGGGGTGAGGACCCTAGACCCAGGGCGTCCCCACCCTTTGGCTTACGGTGGCAGCTGGCCCAGGTGGCTGTCTCCAGGGCTCCAGGGGTCCCTCCTTGAGGGTGCCTTCCACCCACAGCCCCCTCAAGTTTACAGGCTGGGATTTGCTCTCCGTTGGCGGAGGGGAGTCCAGCCACCTCTACTGGGACCTGCAAGTCCTGTGATTGCAGCTGAACCATTTCTCCCCAAAGTCACCAGTGGAGGAAGGGGAAGGAGAGGAAATCAGGAGGCAACAGGGCTGGGGGTGCAGGGAGAGTCGACCACCGGCTGATGCCCCCCCCCTCTCCTGTTCCCCTCCCCAGGGCAGGTGTCAGGGAACAGGTCAGCGGGGACACTACCTCCTGCCTCCACGGGGCCCCCGCCGCCCCCAGAGTACTTGGCCCCCTGCCTAGAGGGTGCACTAGACACTTGAGTCCGGGAGGTGGGCCCCCGAGGGCAGCCCCTCAGCTCAGCACCTGCTGGATCCAGCCAATCACACCTGTGATGCGCGTGTAGACACCAAAGTAGTTGGGCCGGCCACAGCCCAGCCCCCAGCTGACCAGCCCCGCCAGGAACCAGCGGCCACTGGGCTCCTTACACACGAGTGGGCCTCCCGAGTCGCCCTGGGAGGGGGAGAGAAGAGACAGGGCTGCGTCAGGGTCAAGGCGCGCGTGTCCTGACCCGCTGGGACTTTTCCAGCTGACAACAAAGTCACACCCGCTTTGGAAATCTCTGCTTCCCCTGCGCCTGGTACTTGGAGAGGGCCCAAAGCCGCCGTGCCCATTCTTCCTCGGGTCCTGGCTGTCGTGGAAGCGTCCACATGTGTCCCTCACGCCCCACTCACCTCTGCCTCCCTCTTCTGGGCTCCTCCTAATCTTTGCCACTGTGTCCCCTTGGGCAAAGCTCCCTCGCGCAGGCAGGGAGCAGTACTGGGCTTAAGCCTTAGACCTCCCTGCCACAGTTCTCTTGTGATGGGGGGGGGGTTGGCCTGCAACGTGGGGCAAGTCTCTCCACACCCCTCACTCCCCAAGCCTCAGTTTCCTCGTCGGTAACATTGGGACAGCCATCCCC